TAAAACTTAATCTTTTTGTGTTTCATTCAATTTTGTTTTTTTTTTGTTCATTCATTTTTCAACATTGTGGTCGTCAATTGATAAAAACAACAAATATGCAAACAAAACAAAACAAAAATTGGATTTATGCAAATTTTTTTTTTTTTCTTTTTACTTCTTTGCGTCCACGTGGTATAAATGTATATTGATGTGGAACGTGGAATTAATAAATCTTTTGATTTTTGTGTTTTGTCTTTTCATTTGATTGTAAAAAAAAGTCATGACAATGGAAAGTTTTTTTCTTTCCATCTGATGATGATACACATATATCACATATGTTTGTTTGTGTGACAAACAGAAAAAAAAATTATTATTATCATTATTCATTCAATTTCCAATCGATAGAGGGTAGCCTATGTACATTTTCAACAACAACAACAACAAAAAATGATTCAATATTGATGATGATGATGGTTTCTCCGTTGACATTTATAGGAGCAGGTGTTTGTTTTTTATTTTCAATTTGTATATATATTGGTTATTATTATAAAATGTAATCAATGGGTGTGGTAAATGTCACCGTTGTATAGTCAGGACGAATAACATAATCCTTTTGGGATTAAGTACCCACACACGCAGATTGATTTAGGTTTTTGGGTGGTCGTTGTAACAATAACCATATATATATTCGAATAGATCCAATTTGATTGTTGTTTGATCACAGAATTATCTTATGACATTAATAATGAAAATAGGTGATAATAGGTGCCAAAAAAAAAAAAAAACAATCCACATGCACACACACACACACGTGTTTTAATTTAACGTAGTATACTAATAATGAATTCAAATCATATCAGATCATAGCATCATCATCATCATCATGATCAGAAAAAAATATTAAATGACTTAATTGCTCATATCATCATCATCATCATCATTATGTCAATCCAGACAATGATTTGTTATGCAAATAGTGAGAAAAAAAATCAGAACATTTCTTCCGTATCTTTTATTCTCTCGGCGTTTTTATTTTCTCCGTTTGTTCGTTTGTTTGTTTGTTTAATAATTTAATGTAGTTTTTTTTTTTCGCTCATTGAATTGATTGATCACTTTTTGATAGGATTTTGATAGTATTTGAAATGATTTCATTTCATCTCATTCTGCATCAATATTATCAACACTTATTGATGCAGAACAATGGTAAAAAAAAAAAAAAGGATTTGTGTGTGTGTGTGATTATCAAGTGTAGCATAGTAGAAACAAACAGCAAAAAAAGGGCAATTATCATCATCATCGACATCGACATCGACATTGGCAACTATCGACAATCACAATCTTAATGCAATCTTGGAAAATTTGAAACAAATTGATCCTCATCGATTCACACTGATACACACACACACACACACACACATTGACTGCACCGTTGTTGTCATCTTATTCTCTACACTTTTTTTCCCAAAATCACAATGATAAAATCGATTTGTAATCCAGCTTCTGGAACAAAACAAAAAGAAAAAGCAAAAAAAGAAGAAGAAATCCTTTGACTGGACCTGGAACTTTTTTTTGTTCCAGTCGTTGTTGTTTGTGCAGCATCTAACTAATCTTTCGATTTTTTTTATCATCATCTTGAACATTCTTTCATACATTCAGAATTTATTTTGTTCACAATTGAATGGACGACATTATTTGTAGCTAATTTGTACGTTTTGTTTCTTTAATAAAAAAAAATTTTCCATTTTCTTTTCTCTCATTGATCCACTTTGACCGAAAATATCATTGGATTATTCACCCGTGATCACAAGAAATCTATATTCATATATGAAGTAAAAGAATTGGAAAACTTTTTCTCCAGTATTTATTTGAATGAAATGAAAAACAACAACAACAGTCTGAATATGAATAATAATAAAAATATTTGCAGAGGAAAAACAAAATTACCACAACGGTAATATAATGTTGTACGTGTTCAAAAAAAAAACAAAACGTTCCTGGAATCATATGTCATTCGTATTAATATGAAAATTCTGCTTTCAACAACAATTTTACCGATATCAAATTCTAAAGAACAATTACACCTACACACACACACACACAACCAAAAGCATACGTTGAACAAAAGACTCAATTCTCAATTCATTCATTCGATTTATTATTGTTTTCATTCATTTTTATTATTATTATTTTACCTGTATATTCATATATGAAAATGATAAAAATTTATGAATGAATAAACAAATATAAATGGAAAATGAAACATGGAATTTGTAATCTGCAAAAAAAAAAAAAAAAATTCACGAACCAACCAGGACCACACACACACGAAAAAAATGTCCGTTTTCTATTAAATATTCAGAAAACAACAACAACAACAACAGTGATGATGATGTGTATGACATGTGTAACCCAAAACAAAATTCATGATATATAGAATTAAGAAGCAGCGAATATATAAAAAAATCAAATTACATAAACATGATATTATTATGTGAACAAAATAAAGAATATCAACGGAATGAAAACAAAAAAAAACAACAAAAATTGTCACCACCACCACCACCACTGGTGCTGGCATTTTGATGATAAATTACCAACAACAACAACAACAACAATAAACAACAGAGACAATAATGACGACGACGAAAAAAATTCAGATGCCCATACCATTGGTTAACTGAATTGAATATGCAAAAAAAAATGAAAATAAATAAATAATGACAAATTACAAACAAAAAAAAAAAAAAAAATTTCATCATTTTTTTTCATATCAAATTCAATAATATTGACCAGATTTTTTTTTAATATTCTAGCTGGATTATTATAATCATGATTGTGAAAAATCTTGCTGACTTTTTTTTTATTGTTCACTGATTACTGAAAACAAACAACAGATTGCAATCACATTATAATAATAATATAAACAAAAATAAATAAAACTTTTGCAAAAGCAAAATAATTCCATACGATAATAGTGGCCAATAATCATCATCATCATCATCATCATTAGTTTAGCCATCGACTCGATTATATATATAGTTCTGTCCAATTCAAGAATAAAAAAATGACCCCGAGAAAAAAAAGTCAAGTTGTTTGGTTGATCAAATCTATATTTATTTATTTTTTTTTTTCCTTTTTCATATAATAAATTGAAACCCATAAACACGTCCACCATCGTCGTCATCAGAATCAGAATCAGAATCAAAATCACTATTAGTATAGTATAAATCGATTGTTTTTTTTTTTGCACTACTGCAAAATCACACACACACACAATACAAACAACAACGATAACAAATCGGACTGATTTATTATACTTTGGAATTGTTTTTTTCATTTCTCTTTCACTCTATTTTGTTCACAATGGTTTTTTTTGGAAACAAATTTAGACCCATATATACCGCACACACCCGAACACATCAACAGTAATTGTAATCACTTACTTATCAATAAGCTATTTTTGTATGATTTTTCTTGCTATGAAAAAACGATAATCAAACTTGTCACCTAATCGAAATATCGTTTGTATTATTGGCTAGCCATACAAGTAACAAAAAAAATTTTTTCTTTATTATATATATGTGATAATAAATAGAAATAGAAACAAAAAACAAATTGATATTTCCATTCTGAAGTCAACTATTATCTCGATAACATTTGGCAATTGATTGTATAATCACGGTTTGAATTGTGATGAAGGAAGGAAAAAAAATTGATCCAAATTGTTAATTGATCATCAATACATCATCAATAATATATATAATGATAATTATAATGGACGAGTTTGAATTATGATTCGAATTTCAATAAAATGATATGGATGTAATCGATTGTAATTCAATTGATTTTATTTTTTTATTTTATTTTTTTTTTTGATTCTTACGATTTACCGCGAAAATAAAATTGGATTTTTATTACCACCAAAAAAAAATTCAATTTCAATAACAATTTAATTGAATTGAAATTGTCAATGTTTTTCTGAGTCTGGTGTGCGAGAACGGAGCAGGGGGGTATTGGAAACCAATGAAAAAAAATTGCATTTTGATTTCTTTTTTTTTACCACTGGATTTTAATTTCATTTTATTACAGTATTAAATTGAACAAAAAGAAAAAAAAACGAACGATTCATATAAATACAATTCAATACTCAATAATCATCATGATGATTCAATGGTGATCGGTTGCTCGAAATTCCATCATTTGCTCAAAATTCATCTTGAATCATTTTTGGATTGGCTAAATGAAAAAAAAAAAAATGGGAATCCAAATGGATCAGGATAGAAAACACATGAAAAAAACAGAAAAAAAAGTTTGTTAATTTAGCTGTATTTAGATTATGAAATTTCAATCATTTTATTATTATTATTGTCTATTCAAAACTCATCATCATCATCATAATTTTTTGCTCATTGTCACCAACGGTTATTTTTCAATGCTAAACTTATATATAGCCTAATGAATCTATTACAATGTGGTGAATGAGATGGCAATAAAAAAAAAATAAACAAAAAACCTTCCACAAATAACGATCATCACATCCATCACCTTGAATGAATTAATTTTTTTTTTTTTTTTTTTTTTTTACTGGGAAAAAAATATATAAAAATGTGTCCTTGCCATTTTGTTCTTTTTTTTTGCATTTGATTCCTTGTAGTTTTATTCATAATGATGATGATGATGATGATGACATTTAATGTTTTTTTTTTAGTTTGACATTTGACAATAAATATTTCATATACCTAATGGTATGATTTGTATACAAACCTCTATAACCATAAAGACGAAGCTGATCGGGTAAACAAAATTTTTCATCTTTAACTGCCAATAAATTGGCTGCAAATTGATTGATTTGATTATTATTATCGATTACATTATCATCAACATCATCATCATCATCATTGTTGTTGTTGTTGTTTGAATCCATGTCTGTTGATGATGATAATTTTTGAACATTGTATTCAACATTAACATTATGATTATCATCATAATCCGAATCATGGTTGACAAATGAATTTTGTTTTTCACGTTTTATTTTAATTGTTTGCCATTTGTTTGTTTGTGATTTATGATCAAATTCAAGGTTTGATTCATTTGTTCCATTATTATCCATATGATGATGATGATGATGATCAGCCATACGATTTAATTCCTGATTGTTTAATGACGATGATGATGATGATCGTTTTCGTTGTTTCTATAATTGGATTTCATTTCATTATAAATGGAAAAAAAATAGAAAAGATAATTTGAAAAATTTAATGGAATTTATAACAATTTTTTTCCATACAAATGTCGATGGCAATGGAAAAAGGGGTAAATCTAATTTTAAATGTGAAAAGTGAAGAAAAAAAAAACACTTGAGACACTGAAATTCGTGTATTCGTGTTTTGTGTGTGTGTGTGTGCGTATGTGTTTGTGAGGTTTGTCATTCTCAAATCCAATTCCATTATTTGTTCCATACAGAATCTATTTAATAGATGATGATGATGATGATGATGATCATTACCCCTTGAATAGAAATTGTTTATAAAATATCACAATATTCGTGTTTTGTATAGAATTAAATGATGTAATCACAGAATGAATGTTTTTGTGTGTAAAGAAAAAGTCATTTTACGTATCATTTAATTGGAACTTCAAAAAAAAAAATACTCTACTATGGTGATGTTATTGTCGCTGTTGTCGCTGCTGCTGCTGTTGTTGTTGTTGTTTCTATATAGATTGTTGTCGATCTCTCATTTTCTCTCGTTTTTTTTTTGGATGAACAGAAACAAAAAAAAACATTGTTCATCCATCCATTCATCTCATGAATGAACCGGATAACGACAATTATTATTATTTGTCTTTGTTTTGATTACTTGTGTAATGAAAAAAAAATGCAAAAAAAACGCTCTAGAATAGATAATAGATGATTGTGTGTGTTTATGTGTGTATGTGTGAGTGATAAGATTCCATAATCACATTCCACAATCATTGTGTATTTTGTTAAATTGTTAATTAAATGAGCTTAATTACAAGGAAACAAGAATAAGTAAATGATGATGATTTAAAACATACACACACACACACACACACAATCTTAGACACAATGTATCCTGGTTTTTTTTCGTAAATTTAAATGAAAATGAAATATTTTTCTCATTGTTTTCATCTGAAAAAATGTCTCAAGATTATAATGAGCTAGTTTTTTCTTTTTTTTGTTATGAAAAACAAACAAACAAAAAAATTCATTTTTATCTTACCTGTTGAATATCATTTGAAATCATCGTATTCGATGAATGATGATGATTACCATCATCACCAGTGCCACCAATATTTTCATATACAATATTACAACGTATTGATCGTTTATTACGTGGCTGTGTTGGACGAAAATTATCCTGATGGCCATCACCTTTTAATGAATGTCTTAACATATGAAATTGATATGATGATAGATAAATTGGCCTATTTAATATGACCCATTGTACGGTTTCATAACATGCAGGTTGTGTTATCGATCCTTCATATGTAACATAATGTTTCCATGATGATGGTAATAAATCCATTATACTTAATGATTCAATTTGATAGCTTAAGCCACGTTTGGTTATATTTTTTAAAAGACCAGTTATCTGTTTTAATGCTGCATTTGGTGGCTGTTGTTGTTGCTGATGATGATGATGATGATGATGTTGATGATTATGTTGATGATGATGATTATCATTATTATTAACACCTACATTAGATGTAACCATTTGTCCACCTGGATGTCCACTAACCATTATAAATATTGATATAGCCACTAAACCATTTGGTTCACGTTTTGCTTCCGACCAATTTGAATATAATTGTGAATTATATGCATATAATTGTAATTCACCTGGAAAACGTTTACCATCAATTGTATGTTCAGAACCACGATCATTTTCACGGCCAAAATGTAATGTTATATTTGATACTGTATATTGATAACTGAATGGTCCATTACTTATTGTAACATGTTTATCACCACCGCTTGATGTTGTTGATCGATCCACTAATAATGAAATACCACGACCAGTATTGACCAATTGTCCACGTACATAATCACCATTGATTTTTATTGGTTCCAAATATGGATCAAATAATAATGTCGATGTATCAATATCAATTGGTGACTGTCTTTGACCTTTACTACAATGTGACCATTTTGGATTTAGACGGCCCCAAAAATCCGGTCCTATAGGTTATAATTTCGGCAAAAATAAAAAAAAAGAATTGATCGAAATTTGAATATTGAATATTGAATCAAGCTAATTATACATGTTATATAATTATAATATCAAATTTTTGCCAACAAAAAAAAAATTCTCCTCAACAGACTATGAACATTTGACACCTGGATTATTTCCCAAATAAAATAAAGGGACTCGAATAAAAAAAATATCAACTTTCAATGAAAAAAACGAACAAAAACGAACAAACAAACAAAAATTTCTCACACATTGAATTTGATATTTTCATTAAGTTTCATTTATTTTTTCATCAATAAAATTGGTCAACAATTGATGATGATGATTATTAATCTTGATTAATTAATTGATTTTCATTTAATTAATTTCTTTTTTTTATTTTATTTTGCTTCATCATTTTAAAATCATTCAAAATATGCACGTGTTACATTAAAAATGATTGACTGAATAACAACAACAACAACAACAACAAAAAATTATTAACAACTAATTAAGAAGCTAATTAAATACGGATTATTATCATGTTTTAGTTTTAGTTTTTTTTTATAAAGATATTTCTTATTTTGTTTCCAGCTCAAATAAATAAAACATGAATGATGATGATGATGATGATTAAGAAGCAGTCATAATCATAATGGAGGAAAAAAAATGTGATTAACAAATGGAAAATCATTTTATGAAGAAAACAAGACAAAAATTCTCATAATTTTTGTTTCTCCTATACAAGAATTTGATAATCACGATGTATGAATGGATAAATGAAAAAGTATTGATAATCATTTTAATCGGAACAACAACAGGATTATCCACAACAGCCCACGTTGAACAACAACAACAACAACAACAACAACGACAACGACACAGAAAATGTTTCACGATTGATTTTTTTTTTGCTACATCAGAAAAAAAACTTCGATGCAATGATGATGATGATGATGATGATTTATTCATCATCAGATTCACCACTATTGTTTTGGAAATGAAGAAGAAAAAAAATCCATTGAATTTTTTTTTGTTCGTTTGTCGACAACAACAACAACAACAACAACAGTGATTATAACGGAAGTTTTTTTTCCTTCTCCCACTTTTTTTTTTTTTTTTTGGTTTTGTTCAGGTGTTTACACGCACAAACACACACACACACACACACGATGATTATATGATTGTAATAATAATAATAATAATAATCAACATCACGAGATTAGCCCAATGATGATACTGAAAAATCAAAAAAAAAATGATCATCATCCATTAATTTAAATGTATATCTGACAAGATAACGATGATCATCATCATCACCATCATCATCTGTTCAATCGGTAACCATTGATAATGTTGTTCATATATATATATATGCATTTTGTTTTCATTTGATTAGATCAAAAACAAAAAAAAAATTTTTTTTTTTTTTTTTTTCATGACAATTTTTGTTTTTGTTGTTTATCAGATTTCTTCAAATTTCACTTTTCTTTTTTATCATTTTGAACAAAACTGAAAAAAATGGAATGGAATGAGATGAAATGAAATCAATATTCGTGATCATTGAAATCAATGTCAATCTTGTGATTTCATTTCGTTTCATTTCATTTCATTTCGTTTCGTTTTGTTTTGTTTTGTTTTCAAACCTATGATTGGCATTTCAAATTGAGTCAATTAATTGTTTTTGGGCAAAAAAATTGTTTTTGGCTTTAGTCAATCAGATCAATTTTTGAATTGAATTATTATTATTATATGTTAATCATCATATCAGAAATATTGATTTGATCGTGATCATTTGATCATCTTGTATGATTGGCCCATTAAAGTTTTGATGAAAAAAACAAAAATTTTTTGTTGTTGTTGTTGTTTTAATCAAGATTTAATTTCGTTTTTTTTCTCTGATCGTGCTACTCGTGTGTGTGTGTGTGTGTGTGTACGATTGTGAATCTCACATTTAAATTTCTTGGAAAAATCAAGATCAACATTTCATTTTTTTGTGTGTGTTTGCGTTCATTCACGAAAAAAACATTTCATTTCATTTCATTACATCATGAGTATTTTGCAATGTTCATGAATGATGAATTTTTTTTTTTGGTTTTCACTTACCGGAAATTCCTTCATATGTCCACCAGGATTCCCAATCGGCCAAAATAAATCGTTGGAATTGAATGAATATTATTAATCGACATACAGTAATTGGTAAATTTATCAGTGGTGACATTTTTTTTTAAGACACACACACACACACACAAACAATAAAGTGATCCTTGAACTGATATCAAAACACATAAATGTGACATTGGTTATGACATTAGGGACCATTTTATTCTTTTTTTTCAACTATCTTTGTGGATATTTTCCATTATTGTCGGCTTTAAAATGGCGCCCGATTTAGTTTTATTGGCGCATGACAAGAATTTCATTGTCATTATCTATTTGTATTCTTTTGGCGCCCAAACAGAATAATTCTATTCTTATCCTTAGAAAACAAAACGGGATTGAAAGAAACCTGAGGATTTTTTTTCTCACTAGTCTCCTCCCACAAAAAAATTTGGGTGTCTATTGTAATCAACCAATAGGAATATTTGAATTGCCCGGAATATTTTCGTTGCTGTTGTTGTTTTTATCTGAACAAGAGAGATCCGCCATTAGAATTGGTGGTGGTAAAAATTTTTTAATTTTTTTAAAAATTTCAGTTTTTTTTTCATCAGGTGAAAATTTTTTTTTTTTGTCATTTCCAATTCAAATTTTTTTTGTGAATTTTTATCCATTAATTAACTTTAGATGTGGAATAGAAACAAATATTTTTCGTGTTTATACATAATTAATCAAACCAGATGTGTGTGTGTGTGTTTTTCTTGTTATATTCAAGTCAATTTTCACATTTTGAAATTTTCAAATTCTGAATCCGGTCACTAGGTTTTTTTTCCGTAATTATGACTTTAATTTAATTCAATCATTCCTTTTTCTCACTGCATACCGGAAATTACTGTAACTAACAAACTACTACTACTGTGGTCAATGGACACAAAGTGTTCTAATGTAAAAGAATCCAATTTCATTACAAGTTTATTCTGTTGATGCCCACATTGATGATGATGATGATGATGATGATATGTTTTTTGTTTCATCAAGCCAACTACTATGTAATAAAAATTAAAGTAAAAGTCATCGAATAATTATAGCATCATCAATCAAGCTGAATGAAGTAAAAAAAAAAAAAAATAAAAATAAAAATAATGGACGTTAACACATTGGTAGAGAATGGAAATATTTCACATTTTAGGTTCGATTTTTGATGTTTTTTGGTTCTATTCACACTCTTACATTTATCTATCCATCTATATCTATGTAATGAGTAGAACTAGAATTTTTATTGTCTGTGTAACATGTGTTTATTTTTGTGTTTTATATAAAGCCATTAATTGTATCTGTGTGTGTGTGTGTGTGTGTAATGGATTATGATGATGATGATGATGACGACGATGATAGACTAAATATTTTTTGTGTGATAAATGGATCAAATTATCAATAAATAATAAAATTACATATCTATACAGTAATATATTTTGTTTATTTAGAATAATAATAAAAAAATCCACCTAAATGTGAATATTGACCCATTATAAATAAAAAAAATAAAGAAGAATCATGAAAAAAAATTTGCCAAAAGAATTGTCACAATATCTAAGAAAATTGGTTACAGAATAGGAAAAAAAATGTCCTTGGAATGGCAAAAAAAAAATCAAATTCAAAATCATCATCATCATCATCATGTTTGTCGGCTCGAGTTAATTCCATTTTCTATTCTCAATTCGATTCTAGTCTTTTTTTTTTCTTTTCGCTTTCGTCCTTTGCAATGTATTACACACACACACACACACTCACACACACACACGCACATTGAAATGTTTGTAAGCGGTGTATCGATTGTAATCTTAAATCTTTTAATAACATTTTAATGTTTTTTTTTCAAATACAAGAATTGCCAAATAAAATAAAATGATGAAAAAGAAACGAATGAAAAAAAAATTGGATCCATTTATAATTCAAATCATACGAGAAAAACAAGCGGTGTGATGGAATTTTCCTCTTGGTTGGATATCATTCTCTTTCTCTCTCTCTTTTGCTTTTTTCAATGGCTGATGATAAGAAGTTTTTTTTTTCTTTTCGAATCGATCGTCATCATCATCATCAAATAATAATATCAGAAATCAGAATGCTGATTTTCTAGCCAATCAATTTAGTGTTTGTGTTTTTGGATTGTTTGAATATTAACTTTTAGAAAGTTTTTTTTTTGATTGGAATTGAATCGACCAATACAATAATAATAATGACGATGATGATCTTTTTATATACAAAATTTCGAAATTGATTAAATTAAATCAAATGCCTCATCGACCTCGGATTGAATTTTTTTTTCTTTCATCTTTTTCTTTTCATTTCGTTTGTGAATCAAAATACCCATTCACCCATGATGATGATGATGATGATGATTACTAATCTTTTTTTTTAATCGGATTTTCCTTCATTTTATTATTTCCATTTCAAACGTGTTCATTTTTGTTGTTGTTGTTGTTGTTGTTGTCGTTGCTGTTGTGTCAATTTGTTCACACCAAAACGACATTTTAGTACAATTATTGTTTCTGTTTCCAACTCCTCTCTTTCTCTCTCATTTAAAAGGAACCGGAAACACTTTGATCAATATCAATGAGTATCAATTGTTTCTGTTTTTGTTTTTTTTTTTGAATCTATACAAAATTTTATATATATGTGACAGAAACAGTAAATAATGAAGAAAAAAACACAACCAATAAGAAGAAGTGAAAAAGAAGAGGAAAAATTATTAACTTTATGAATCGATCGATCACATGTACCGATCGATTGACAGATAGATATCCACCCATCCAATAAGCCAAACACACACACAAGAATCGATTGATTTCGATAAAGTCTTTTTCCGATTACATTCTTAATGTTGTTGTTGTTGTTGTTGTTATTGTTACTGTTATTATAAAAAAAAGGTCGAATTCATTCAATTTACTATTTGTTCTATGAAACTTGTATACTCAAGATGAAGAAAAATGTGGAAAAAAAACTCGAAGAAAACCATTGTTTCAAGTATTGTAAAAAAAAAAAAAAATTTCGCTTCTCCAGTAAATACACATTTTTCTTGCAAATTCAACATGGAATTTTTCAATGTGTCTGTGTCTGGGTGTGTGGGTGTGTGTGTGTGTTTCACACGACCACACATAGAATTAAGAATGGAAAAAAAAAAAAAAGCTAATAATTTTGACAGCTGGTGATCACATCATTTGATCGTAATATAGTATAGTATTTATAAATCACATCGTAGAATTTTTTTCTTTTGTTTCAATGTTCTACCCCAAACCAAAATTTCTTTGTCTATTTCACAATAATAATAACGATGATGATGATGATGATGATTATGAACCAGAAAAAAAGCCAAGATTTATGCGTGAAAGAAAATCCATCCGTCTGATGTATCAATTTTTTTCTCTCTTTTTTTTCGGATCGAATTTTTTTTTTTTTTTTTACTTTGCTTGTTTGGGTTTCAAAATCGCCAACAATCCAACAATTATCCTCGACCATAATAAACGACAATCCGGATGATGATGATGATGATGACGATGATGGAATGGGAAAAATTTTTTCCTACTTTTCGTCAAAGTTTTTTTTCCAGTATTTTCTCGCATTTCACTTATTCACTCAATGAAAAGAGAAAAAAAAATTCAAACTTGTTCGTGTTGGGCTTTGGTTTTTTTTCCTGATATCGGTTCATTCAATTCAGAGGATCATGGCCAGAATTGACGGAGATTTTCAATGGATAAATTCTTTGGTGGATGAACCAGCTGGCGTTTTTTTTCTCGTTATTCGATTTGTAGTTTCTTACATTCCAACAAAAAAAAAAAATAAAAATTTTCCATAAACCAGAATTCAATGCTAGAATTCGTCCGCCTACTTTTTTTGTCTTCTTTACAGTTCGATTTTTTTTTCTCACTTATTTCATTCTTTTGGCATCGTGTATGGTGAATTTTTTTTCTGCATCAAGAGAAAAAAAATTACCAAATGGAATCCACGCACTTGGAACACTGACACGCGGTTACATTGAAATAATAAATTGAGTTCATTAAAAAATGAACACAGAATTCACATTCAGTTCATTCAGTTTTCATACCACTTAAAACAAAAAAAAAAAAAAAGATAAGAATCATTGAGATCGGCCAGAATAAGTGGGAAAAAAAATTCAAATCAATTGCTAAAATTAGCAAAAATACAAGCAAAAGATTAAGCCATATCATCATTTTGATTTAATCTTTTCTCATGTACGTGCTCTCCAATACTAATCATTATTATTCCGTATGAATGAAATGATTCTATTTTTCAATTCTTACAAGATTTTTTCTCTTTTTCTCTCTGAATTGAATGACAAAATAAATTTGGAATGACGATAATTATTCACATCAGCTGAATCCAGAATTTTTTTTGGTCTGTTTCACAATTTTATTCCTCTACACTGCTGTTGCTGCTGCTGATGATGATGATGATGCCATAAATCTTATCGTGGTGTATCGGATTACAACAACAACAACAACAAAAAAAATATCATCGATCGATCGATTTAATAATAATAATAATAATTGTGTTTGTTTGGTTGAATGCATGCAACCAGTTTTTCTGTTATTTTTTACCACTTTTTTTTCTCTATCAATAACATGCATAAAAATGATGATTGTTAATAATGATCATATTATTATGATTTTATGATGATGTTGATGTTTGATGATGATAACTATTTTATATAAATAAATTGTATAGTTGAATTCTGTTGTTTTTTTTCACATTATGCAATGTAGCGAATATAAAATAAACTTGGTGAAACATTTTCTGCATACGACAGACTGAAAATCTATAGTGGAAAATAAATTTATCTACTATGCATCTCTCTCTATATTATATTTATCGGTTACCACACACACACACACAACAGATGCGATTAATAGCCATTTTACCCGATCGATCGATCGATCGATCGATCGATTGATCGCGATGTTCATTGTTCTGATTGTTCAAATTTGTTGTTGTAGTTTTGAGAATGAATAAAAAAAAGTAAATAAACTATCAGATACATAAATAAATGAACAGTAGCAGCAACAATAACATTATGGATTTGTAGCTTATGCAAATGGTCATAATCATCAATCGATTTGATTTTGATTTTTTTTCTTCTTCTTCTTCTCTCATTCCCCCCCAAAAGTCTGTTATTGTCATTTTTTTTTTTGTTTTTCTGGTTACATCATCATAAGAATTTGATGATAATAATCCAAATGAAATGATTCGATTCAAATCATTTTGATTTTTATTCATTGAACACAAGATGGCGTAAAAATTCAATGTTCCATGAAAACATGTGTTTTATATATGAAAAAAAATAGATAAAAATAAATCCATCAAACGTGGTTGGATCATCAACAATCGATCCATTCGTTTCAAGTGATCTTTGTTTATTTGTGTTTGTGTGTGTGTACATCGGAAAGTGATCACGTTTTTTTCTCTCTTTTCCTTTCAAATGATTGAATAATGTGCGGCATATTGTTCGTGATCAATGAAGGTTCTGATCTAGATCCAAATGTTCGTGATGAATTGATAAATTATTTTATTCAATTTCGATAAAAAAAACATACCATTACATAAACATTTGAAACCATGATGTTTGTAGTAATTTTTTTTTTGTTCTTTTTTTCACTGTTTAGATATTTAATCGATCAAATATACGCCGATTTCTTCAACGTCGTGGTCCGGATCAACATCAATCATTTGATTTTATTCATGATCTGTTTCAATTTCATTTAGAAAGTTCCGTATTGCATTTACGTGGTCAAAGTAATTCAGGTCGACAACCATATTGTGATGATAGTAATAATAATAATGAGAATTATAACGGTAATTCGTCATGTTTACAATGGAATGGCCAAATATTTCGTTTAATTGATGATAATAATCAATTCAAAACTATTGATGATTCAATATCAGATACGGAAGTATTATTTTCTATGTTAACTAAATTCAATAAAAATGTTGATAATGTTGTTCTGGAAACACTTTCATCTATTCATGGTCCATGGTCAATGACTTTTTGGAATCAAACAACCGAACAATTATGGGTGGCACGTGATCCAGTTGGTAGACGTTCATTATGTTGGAATAAAAATCTGTAAATTTCGTAATCGTATATTATTATTTTTTTTTGATTCCATTGACAAATAATTAATATTGAACCATTACTTTTTTTCTAGGCGAGATAAATTTTTAATAATTACATCGATTGCTCAACTATTCAATAACGATAATGATCTCAATGCAAATCATTCCATATGGAATACATTGAACTTTGAAGAAATTCCATCTGATCGAATTTTTTGTTTTAAAATAAGTAAAAACAAGTCATTGGAACAAATCTGGCAAGATGTACGACAATTTTATTGGCCAAAAACTTTGGCTGGTTTCGACATTAATATTGATGGTCATCATCATTACATTCATCGTATGCCAATTATATCGATGTTAAATACGGAAATTCCTTCAGAAAGTATTGATCAATTATTGAAATCATCAAACCTGTTCAATGATGAAGGATTTGTTATCGATATGAAAATATGTGATGAATTTCATCGTGTTCTATCCGAATCGATAAAAACACGATGTAGAAATCATCAAAATCGTTGTAAAGAATGTATGCTACATTCTAATGAAAATACTGATTGTACACATTCAACATTAGCCATTCTATTTTCCGGTGGTTTAGATTCAACTGTATTGGCACGAATAGCCGATCAATTTGTTGAACCTGAAATACGACCTATTGATCTATTAAATGTAGCATTTGATCCTAAAGCATCGGATCGTAAAACTGGAATCGATGCCTGGAATGAACTTTGTCAATTATGTCCTAAAAGACAATGGAATTTTGTTCAAATTGATATCGATCATCATGAATTAGAATTATATCGTAAAGAACATATACATCATTTGATCGATCCAAATTGGACGGTCTTGGATGATTCAATTGGTTCGGCAATCTGGTTCGCTACACGTGGTCAAGGCATTCTATTATCTAATCCAAATGAAAAGAAACATGTAGAGTATAAAAGTCCAGCACGTGTTGTCCTATTGGGAATGGGATCCGATGAACAACTTGGTGGCTATTCACGGCATCGTCAAGCATTTCAAAAAGGAAACTGGACATCATTATTACATGAGATACGTGTTGATATTGAAAGGATTTCTGGCCGTAATCTTGGCCGTGATGATCGTATTACTGCTGATCATTCAATTGAAGCAAGATTTCCATATCTCGATGAATTAGTCATGAATTTTCTCAATCCATTACCAATATGGCAAAAATGTAATCTATATTTGGAACGTGGTCATGGCGAAAAATGGCTATTACGAAAAGTTGCCCAAAATTTAGGCTTACAAAAATCGTGTCAAAATCTAAAACGTGCCATACAATTTGGATCAAAAATAACATCACATCAGAATGCTGGTTTAAAAGGTCATAATTCATATCAAAAATAGATTTTTTTTTATTTGTTTTTTGTCCAGAATAATATTTTCATTCATATGATTGTTGATTTGTATTTTTATCATCATCATCATTAACTTTTTTATAATCAATAGCATTTCGTCTTTCCAAATTTTCGTTAGATAAATTGATATCTCGATTCTTCAATTTGGTTTTATTTTTCTTTTCTCGTTTTAGTTGTATATAAGCAACAATGACAATGATGATCAAAAGAATTGCACCTAAAATTATGAACCACAGACTTCCTTGTCGTAATTTAAATCGATCTAATCTTGGATCATATTCTTGAGCTTGATTTTGTAACGATGATACTATGGAATCTAAACCTTCGTAAATATAATTTCTTGAAAAATGTTTCTGTGTATTTTCAATGATATTTTGTGCTTCTTTCATTCCAATCACATTTTCAGCTTTAGTACCCATTGAAATGACAACTTTATTATAGGTGATTGCCACAAATACTAATACATCATGATGACAAGTTTTAGCTAGATTCCATTTTAATCTAGTACGATCGGCAAATTGTTCAACAGATTTTTCAATGCTTTGACTATAGGGAAAAATAGAAAAATATTTATATCCATTAAATTGAATTGAAAATTCAAAATTTTAATGCTTAAATTTACTTTGCTGCCAAATTTATCGATCGAACCAATGCTATTTTGATTAATAAACCATTTGGATTTTCATTTGAACATGGTGGACATAGACAAGCGGTTTCATTCTGTTGTTCATTGATTAATTGATCCAATTTTTTTGCTATAATCAATCAAATAATTTTTACATTATATGAATATAATGATAATCTATATATATTATTAAATGTTATTACCATCTTCCGGTTTGATTATATTATCCGGATCACAAACAGAAGTAGGTGGATTTCTAAAACTTCCTGCACATAATTTTGGATTACTTACCAATGATGGATATTCATCTGGCCTATATTGATATGCAACACCACCGGCTTCTTCATCGCCATTGGTGGCCAATAATAACGTTAACCAGATAAGCGACAGGACCAAAAATTTATACTTGTTGAATAATAATAATAATGATGATGATGATGATGATGTGTTCGATAATATTAAATAATAATCAGATGGCGTTACCAAATTACTATTGCTAATGATTTTCATGTTATTTTTTTCCAAATAATAAAAATAATGATGATGATGATGATTTCGTATTTTTAAAATTTTGTTGATGTTGCATGTATGAATTTTTTTTGATTATTATTATTATTAATAATAGTAGAATTATTATGTTTGATGATGATCGTTGTAATAATTATTTTTTTGTGGATAATTTATTGGCTAAATGAAAAAAAACATAGAAAAAAAGAAAGAATCTCTTTATCTCACTATGTAACCATGACAAAAGACAAAAAACAAATATAAGATAGATCAAGATGTATGAAATATATCCTCTTTTTAAGTGTGTGTGTGTGTGTTAATAAATTAAATTGAATCATATCTTATGGTTTAAGCTACAATGCAAACAATTTTTTGTTGTTGTTGTTGCTTGATCCATTGTTATTTTGGATCAAATGCTGTTGTTGTTGTCGTTGTTATAAAAATTTTTACGTTAGGAAATTGATCATACGATCAACAAGTATCTATTTGATTTGAACGTATTAATAATGAAATTGTTGTTGTTTATGTTTATACATCGGTCGGATACGAGACCAATGCGAGAGAAAAAAAATTTTCTCACACACCCATAATAGATAGATTAACAATCAATGGAAAAATGTGGAAAAAAAAGTTGCAAACATTATACTTACTTTATATAATAATAATAATAATTTTTTCACAACGGAAAAAAAATTTTTGATTTTTTTTAAATTGAAATTTACATAAGAAATATTGTAGCATTTTTTTTCCTCCTCAATCACATTGTTTTTTTTTAGGAAAAACTAAATGAAAACATGGTTATTTTTTTTCAATCAATTTGTCAATATTTTACACTCAATAAAATCATCATGAATTATGTGATCATATTGGATTGGATGATTTTCTAATTTGAGTATTTATTATTATTTGTCTATTTATTTTGATTGATTATATCGAAATAAATGAAATAGAAATTCAATTGATCTCTTTTAATCTTATCGCATATATCAATTGAATCCGATATGCTTCTGATCGTTTGTAGCGTGTGTATGTGTGTGTGTGTTTGTTTGTTTGTTGTGTTGATTTCGTACGTTGTTGATATTGTATTTGGATGGGTGGATGATCAATCGATCGATCGATTCATTCATAATGATGATGATGATGGTTAATCAATAGTCAATTGGTAATTTGATATGCATGATTTGATCAAACGATTGATTAGAATATTGTTTATGGCCAATGATGATGATAAATGTCGGATGAAATTATCTGTGTTTTTTTTTTTTGATATAAATTTGAAAAAATTTCATTTTATTTCCAAAATTCAATTTCATTAAATGGATTTCATAATCAGATAATAATAGAATTAAATTTGCATCTAAATTATTGGTTGTTTAGTCTGTTCCGAAATATTTTCGTCCAAAATGATGTGGTACCACTGGATGAACTTCGGTTGTTTGTACAATCATCTCATGAAAACGTGTACAAATTGATCGTATAGCTATGATGAATGAAAAATATCGAACGATAATGATTAATGTATAGAAATATTAATTTTTGATGATTAAAATAAATATATAACAAACCTTCCGGTGTACTGAATAGATTAACCAATATAATATTCGATTGTTTAGCACCATGTTTAATCAATGTTTTCACCGCTTTGATCACTGTATTTCCAGTGCCCATAATTGGATATAATAATAAAACTTTTCGTAATGGTAAATCAGCCGGAAATTTACTATAAAGAACAGATGCTTGATGTGTTTCATCATCAGATTGTATGAGAATTTTTCCAATACGTATTGAACGACAACAATCACGTAATGCTTTTTCCATTGCTTCACCACTACGTACAATTGATACACCACAATTCATTTTAAGAAATTGTACACCATCATAATGATCACTGGTTGGTGTTTCAATCGATCTTGTTGTGTATGGTAAATGATTTAGACCTTCTTCAATTACAATACGAATCTAAGGAAGAAAAATTGATTAAAATTAGAAATTTATTGATTAATATAAATTCAATTACCAAACGATCGGCATTAAATATGAATTCATCACGTGGTGTATTTCTGAGAGAAAATTTTTTTTTATTAGAATTATAATTACAGAAAAAAATAATACAAACTTGTTTCTGATGAATGTTTGCAATGAAACGATATGATCATTCGATTTTAATACACGAACATTCGGCACAGTTGTTACCATTTGTACATATGAATTTGGTATGACTGTTTCAAATAAAACATTCTGTAATGATCCAATTAATTCATCCAATTGTTTAACACGTTGTAAATCTTCATCACATTCAATAAAATCATCTAAATTATCATCGGATGTTTCATCACCAGAATCGTCATTCATATAATTATTATCATTATAGATTAATGTTCGAAATTTCATTATATTTTCGAATGTTGTACCAGACAACATTGATGTTGGACGTGATAATTGATAATCTTTCATTTTTTTTGCTAAATGTTGATTACAATGTCCAGATTCAATTTTATTATTTGCGTTTGTTTCATTCAAATTGGTTGATTCCAAATTTCTTACTAAATAATCCAATGTTTGATTTGCAAGACAAATAGAATGACCAGTTGTCTGCTCGATATCAAAGATATCATTCAATGATTTATGATTATTGGACGAATTTGTTGATAATTTGGATGATGCCAAAGATGTTACTGAAATCTTTGGCTCTTCGTTTGAACAATCAATAATTGGATCCGTTTCCGAACGTTTCAATGAGAAAAAAAATAAACAATATTTGCAAATGATTTAATGGGTGTTTTCAACAAAAATTTCTAGTGTTGAAAGGGATCGAAATGGCTGAAGTCCAAAAAGAAAAAAGAAAAAAGAAAACAACAACATCAACATCAACATTATATATACATATATATGAGCCATATAGCACACAATTATTGAAGCGTGGCTATATAACCTTAAAAACATCGAATTAAATTTTGTTATCATACACAGAAAAAAAGTGGTGGCCTGCGAGTACTCGCGATTTTGGGTGGTTCTCAGATCTCGCCAAAATCGCGAGTACTCGCAAACGGCATACGACTAGCCGACTGACTATCGATATATCGATAGTCAACTCGCAATTTTCGCGAGTACTCGCGATTTTCGCGACCACCCGATTGTTTTTTCGATATATCGAAATCATCGATGGTGTCGCTCACCGATTGTTGCAGCAATTTTGACCCCCTTTCATTCCCTTTCCCCTCATATTAATTTAATCGATATATATTGAAATTTAATTGATTTTATTGAAATATTAATTTATTAAAAATTTTAAATAATAAAATACATCCATATTTCACATCCAAATTGCGCCATAAAAAGTTAATTGTCCCGTTTGACATAAATAAATCCATAATCGCGGTCCAAGTTTCAAGACAATGTCCAAATTCTATCCGTGGTTCGAGATTCAATTTCCCAATTGTTCGCCGGCGATCCTAAGTAAAAATAAATATTAATTGTTTGTTCAATTAATCTATTCATTTGCTTACCATGATCATTTTCAAGTGTGTTCCATCCCATGAATCTTCGACTTATAATCATGTTTTCGATCGCTTCATTGATTCCAAAGATTCAATCAGCATCAAATTCAATAGGAAATAGTTCGGACCATGTTTCTAAGCCTAATCTAACCCTAGCCTAACCTGATATCATGTGTTGAACACGGTCAAACTATTCTTGAATTGGATGCGGATGAACAATGGAACCGCCGAATTGATCTCGAACATAATCATCAATCGAATTTCAATTTGATGATTGTAAAATTTCAGGAACAAACCTAATAAAAAAAGATAGACCAATCTTTATTAGATATGAAGAATGAATATGTCGACTTACCGAATAAGTTGCTCCAACAATTCAATCCAATGCAGGCCTTTGAGAAATGTAAGTGTTAGAATCATTGATCGATAGCGAAATTAAAAAGTTACCTGATGACGAACATGATGTTTCAGTGGACATCGTACCATGTTAGTGACCAGATATCCACCAACAAATTTGTACTGTTCGGCATCATTACCATGATCAAGAAGCATTCGATGATGAGCGAAAACAGATTCGAAAATAGTTTTGAATTTGGTCAACAAATGAGTTATTATGGAATCCAGAATCAAAATTCTCCATTGGATATTCTTCTATAAATTTTTTTTAATTGACTGTGATAAGTCATTGATTTCTTTATATGAATCACGAACCGATTCGTATGCATCGAGTAGCAAATGTAGCAAACATATCATCACCGTTCATAAGTGAAAACAAACATTCCAATGTTAGCTTAGCGTACGAAATTTGAGATGAGGACCCAAAACGACCCAACCACAAAAACAAAATCCTCTATGAAACAATAAAATTTTGTAAGCATAATTTTTTTTAAACTAATAATGAGCAATTACACTAACCCATAAACTAAAAATACACAAAGACAGAACCGCAAAACGTTTGGAAAAGATTTCTTCAATGTTACAATAAGAGAATGTTGTATGATTGAAAATAGGCAAAATAACGTAATAATGGAAACCAAACCAAAAGATTACCAATGCCTAAAAATAGCGAACAGCTAACAGAAAAAAAATTATAACCAATTTAATTTGAAACATAAATATTTAACAAACCTATGCATCTTTTTTACTGATACAATTGGACTATCACCTTTATGGTTTCTACAAATTGATAATAATGATGAACCATTGTTGTAGTGAGAATCAATTGAATGCAAAACGAACAATATTTAATAATAAATATGTCGTGGGATCGTTTGTGAAAATCGGATTTTTATTTGTTGTCGAGTTGTTTGTGTTAGTATTCGTGTATACACAGAAAAGAAAGTAAAAAGGTTATTAGTATCCTGACTCGGAATTTTCGGCTGAAAACGTGCTCGTTCTCTCTCACCGACATTCTCGGTCGAAATAGGGAAAGTAGAAATAGGCAGGAGCATGCGCAGCCAGTAATGCTACATATATACAGTGATATAATACAAATATACAGTAATACCCCGCTTAACGCGGGGTTACGTTCCAAAAATATTGAGCGTAAAGCGAAACAACAGCGCAAAGCGAGGTTATTTTTGCATAATTTACATAATGCATTTTTACTCTTCATATACAATGTAACAATGTATTGCAATGTAATGTAATTGCACAGCGTTATATCGAAACAGCGCTAATCGGGGCAGCGTTAAGCGAAGTATTTCTGTAATGTCGTAAAATATGATTGTTATATACGACCATAATTACGTTCTATATTATGGGGAAGGATAATGGTCTGGGGAAAATTACCCCATCATTTATAAATTCGCCTCCCCCCATTACACACATTAACACATATACACGCATATACACTATTTGTTTCGACGTCGGTTCAAATCCCATCGCGGCCGCCTGGGTTAATATAAAAATAGTCAGTGTTGGGGTGGATAGTGGTTTGCGCATAATCACTTATAAATTTGCCTCCCTCGCTTATAAAACCTATTTGTTGGGGAGGATAGTGGACAATCACTTATAAATTTGCCCCCCAATTATTTATATACACATACACACTTGCGCATAAAGTAATTTAAAAAATAGTCAGTGTTGGGGGTGGATAGTGGTTTGCGCATATTCACTTATAAATTTGCCTCCCCCTCACTTATAAAACCTATTTGTTGGGGAGGATAGTGGACAATCACTTATAAATTTGCCCCCCAATTATTTATATACACATACACATTTGCGCATAAAGTAATTTAAAAAATAGTCAGTGTTGGGGGTGGATAGTGGACAATCACTTATAAATTAGCCTCCCCCTCGCTTATAAAACCTATTTGTTGGGGAGGATAGTGGTATGGACCATAATTGTCCGATCACTTATAAATTTGCCCCCCAATTATTTATATACACATACACACATACTTATATCTAAATATAAAAAAATAGTTAGTGTTGGGGGTGGATAGTGGACAATCACTTATAAATTTGCCTTCCCCTCACTTATAAAACCTATTTGTTGGGGAGGATAGTGATATGGACCATAATTGTCCAATCATTTATAAATTTGCCCCCCAATTATTTCATACACATTTATATCTAAATTTAATTGCATAATAATACATACCAGTACACAGGGCCGAGAAAATTGCGAGGCCTTAAAAAATTTTTATCATAGGCGAAAAAAAGAAATTGGTTATGATTTTATAACTTATAAAATAGTTATGATTTTATAACTTAACTTTTATTTAATATTTAAATGAATAAAATATAAAATAGTAGTGATTTAATTTACGAAAAATTATTTGATTCAATTATTATCATTTTTTTGTCACATGTACAATATTCCGTTGTTGTTGTTAATGGTGTTGAAAATTATGATGTTGTAATTGTGGTGAAATTATCATCATATTTGGTGAATCGTTCGATGAAAGAATTGATGATGATGAATCAATCATTATAGCAGGCTGATGACGATTCATGATGGCCATTTTTGTAGCCATTGATTGTTGAATTGGATGACCATCTTGATCATTATCGATATCATCATCGTTTTAGTGAATTGTTTCTCCTAAGTTATATCTTTGTAAAAATCCAATTAAATTTAAAATTTTTAACAAACAATCGAAAAACAATTTTTAGTGAATTGTTTCTTCTAAGTTATGAATTTATTTTTGTAAAAATCCAATTAAATTTACAATTTTTAACTAACAATCGAAAAACAATCGAAATTTATCAATCATTGAAGACGAATCTTCAATATTGAAGACCGGTCTCCAAATTTGATGTTTTTGGTCTCCAAATTTGGCGATTACTCTTCAATAATGGAGACCAGTCTCCACTCCTCTTCATTTTTGAAGTCAGGTCTCCCAATGCAGATTTTTCCCTCCAAATTTGACTAGAAATTTTCTGTGTATCATCATTTATAAGAAAGAGGATCCACACATATACATATTATACGACATCTAACGTTTCGAAATCGAAATGATCAAGATGAAAAAAAAAGTTTGCTAAAACTCAACAACAACAACTAAATGGCTATATATAAGCATGTGTTTAAAAATTCGTGATTATTGGTTGTCTGTTTTTTTTTCATATTTGCTTGTGTGTGTGTGTGTGTGTGTGTGTGTGTCCGTCGTGTGTGCGTGTTGTTTACAACATCGATCGTGTATATATATTGAATTTTCGAATTTTTTTTCCGTTTCGAATAATTCCTAAAATAATTCCAGATTTTTTTTTTCATTGTCCATTCAATCATATCCATTATTATTATCATTTATTCATTATGATAATGACAATAGCTTTATCATTTACAACAAAAAATATATCAATATTATCGTCATCAAGAAAATGGTTAATGTTTCGTTCGAAATTATTTTCATCATCATCAAAACGATTATTATCAACATCATCATCATCATCTGGAACAATGAATAATGATAATAATGGACAAATTCGTCAGGTAAAATTGGCTTCCGATAAAAATAAACAGAAACCTAAACCAAAGTGAGTGAGAAGAAAAATTTTTTATTTCAATGAAACATTTGATCACATGATACAAGTGATCGAATCGAATTAATTGATTAATTAATTCTTATCATTATCATTATCATTATCATTATTTAATAGCCTAAAGGTGACATTCGAATTGGATGATGGCCGTGAATTAATTGGAAAAGCTTGTGATGGTGATACATTATTGGATGTTGTATTGAATAATGAATTAGATCTGGATGGATTTGGTGCATGTGAAGGTACATTAGCATGTTCAACATGTCATCTAGTTTTCAAACAAAATGATTTTGATCGTATACCGAATAAAATTACCGATGAAGAAATGGATATGTTGGATTTAGCATATGGCCTTACTGAAACGTAAATCTTTTATTTTTTCATTTCATTTATTTCATTTATTTATTCTACAAATCTATGTTTTATATTTGTATATTCAAATAGATCACGTCTTGGTTGTCAGATTTATATGACAAAAGAATTTGATGGACTTCGTGTAAAAGTGCCACCAGCTGTTAATGATGTTCGTTTACGGTGAATAAAAAACGAACAAACAAACAAACAAATGGATTGTTTACAAATAATAATAATTTAGATTAATGTTTTTTTTTGGTCATTTTTTTTATTAATACCTAGCTCAAATTAGGCAAGAATTTTTCCATTTTTTTACAACTTGTATAATCAAAAAAAGAGAAAATTTTCGATATTTTTTTACATAAAAAAAATTTCATATACATTGTCCTTATTGTTTTTGTTCTTCATAATATATCAAATTTCTATACTTGTCGATAATCGATCGATATAATTTAATATTTTTTTTGTCTTTCTTTTCTTTTCATCACTGAACTAAACTGAATTGAATTACAGTGCGAACATCCAATAATAATCAATCGACGATGACAATCAATCGAATCATTATGTTAATGATGATGATGATGTGATAGTTATGTTTTTTTTTTCTTAAAAACTGAAAATTGAATTTGAAAAAAAATTCTTTCATAACCAATTTTTGTCCATATATTTAATACACAAAACAGACCAAGTGTCTCAATTGGAACCTATTACCTATTGTAGTAGTAGTAGTAGTATTAGTAGTAATTGTAGTAGTAGTGGTAGACATTTTTTAACAGCAATACTTTTTTTTCAAACTAATAACTATCATTATTACAACTACTACTATTACTATATATATTGAATCATAAAGGTAACAACAGTAACAATAATGAGAAAAAAAACTGGATTCGAGTAGTGGCAATGTTTGTTTGTTTGTTTGTATTTTTTCGTTCATCTCATGGTTCCAGAAGAGAGAAAAAAAATGAAAATTTAAAGAACAACAACAACAACAACAACAACAAACAAACAAACAAGAGAATCCAAGTAATAATAATAATAGAAAACACGCAACGCATTATTATAAACAAACGACGTAGTTTGTCCGATTATTGAGTGTGTGTGTGTGTGTTTTGTGTATGTATGTTTTTCTGTGTTTAGCTTTCTGATCTGGTGATTTAGCTGTCAATTCAATGTCGTAATTTTTTTTTCTTCTTATTTTCGTTTTCTAAATTATGATGATGATGATGATGAATTAAATTGAAAAAAAAGATTGAATGACAATTGTGATGTAATATCGACGTGTATGATTTAGAATGTTGTTATTGTTGTTGTTGTTATTATATATTTAAATGATGATGATGACAATGATGCAATTATATGCGAATGTCATCAATTAATATTCAAGATTTTTGATTCGAAGAAAAAAAAAATTGAAATGATTATGATCATCATCAGTGAATGTGTTGTATAAATGGCATTTTTTTTGTTTTGTTTTTCGATTTTGTTTTTTGATGTGGTGTCGTATTGAATTCAAACAAGAACAACAATTTATCATTGAATCTGAAATTGATTTTTTTTTTAATAACGCGAATATTCATGTGATTTTTTTCCGATTTGTTTGTTGAATTCACCTGTTTGTTGTTGATTTAAAGTTTTGTTTTTTTTCGTGTTGATTAATTAAAATAAACACAATGGATCCGTTTTCCGATCAATCTAAAGATGATGGTGAACATCATCATCATAATGATGATAATGATGATGATTCAATGAATCAAACCAATGATAAAGGAGATAAAAATTTGAAATCCGCACCAAAATTGATACTGTCATCTGAAACAATAAGTGAATGGACATTAGTATATTCAGATTCAAATTCATCAATTTTCGATTCATCATCAATGGCAAGTAATGATGAACATGAACAAGCCATCAAAAATATTGTTGATAAAAATCCTGATAATGATGATGATGATGATGATGGTGATAATGTCAAGAATATTACATCGACAGAAATGAATGATGAAATTCAGGAGCTAGAAAAATCACAAAATGATCAATCATCAAATGAACGAAGATATTCTGATGCATCAACATCTTCGATAATTGTTTTTAATGAAAATGATCATAATGTTTCCGAATCAAATGATGATAAATGTGGCGAATCGTTGAAACAAAATGTTGATTCAGATAGCCGACAAAGACGATCATCGATTGATCGTATATCGACAACAACTTCATTGACTTCCAATAGTACTGCTAATATGACAACTACATCAGATTCAGAAACCAATTCAGATGATGAAGTATTTGTTCATAGTGTTCATCAAGATAATAATAATCCTCGATTAGATCATATAAATAAATCAGAATCACAAAATTGTTGCGCAAAACATCGTAATGAATCCATGTATAATAATAAACACTCGACGAGTAAACATCATCATCAAAGATCACGAAATCATAACCATCATCCACATCAATTACATCGACGACGACAAGCATCGGTCAATAATAATAATCAATATCGAACATCAACAAACACTATTCGACGTAGACGAACTATACATGGATCACAGTCACAAGATCAAGTTTCAATCAATCATCATCATCATTGTGGTTCTGCCATTATATCACCGCCAATATTTTTATTTCCTGATCAAATGATGAATCCAGATGTGATGATGATGGCCAATGATGATCAGGACATTGTCTTGGTTGATAAAGCTATTAATGATGGTAAAATGATTGTTTCTAAACATGATTTGTTAACTAGCGATTTAAATGATCATGATGATTCATTGATGACAGTTTCGCTTCCAGTATCTTCTGTTCTTAATGGTTGTTCCATTGATTCAAATCAATTTCATGAACAATATTTGGTGGCCAAATATGATGATGAAGACCAAGAACATCATGCTGATCTATCGAATTCGGAATCCGATGAGTTGTTATTGGACCAGTAAGTTGTTGTTGATTTTCAAATAAAATTTGCATATCATTAATTATCAATTTATTTTATTTTAATTTAGATATGATATTCCTTTGATGAATGCAAAAACCGGTCGTATACGAGCATATTTCCATAAGCCAAACACTGTATTAAATAGCAAGCTCAATTTAGCATTAATACTTTCATTAGCTGCTGTCATCGGTTTAGGTGTTGGACATTTTCTTGGTTGGTCCACTTTACTTAATCAACAGAAACAACTTTCATTGGCACAAGTGATGAAATTGAAACAATTACAAGATGATTTATTGACTTGTATGAAAGATCAACGTATACAACTATCATCCGAATATACATTGGATAATGACCATCATAAAGTAATTGGATCGTTTCTTGTTGATTTTCAATGATTAATTAATTAATTAACTTGATTTGTTTTATTTCTATAAAGGTTTGTGTTAACGATGCTGATTATTGGACAGAACGTTTTCGTTCGTTGTTTGATGAAAATCAAGGTTTAAAAGAATTGTTTCAAAAAACACAGAAAAATTTTGCCGAAAATCGTTTTGATTCTATATTGGATGATAAGGAATTTAATAACAAAAATACAAACGAAGAATTCCATAAACTTAAATTAGATTTACTTATCAAACAAATGGAACATTTGAAATTATTGGAAGTTTTGGAGGATATAAAATCGAAAGGTGAACGATCAGCAAAACGTGTTCTTGTGTTGGAAGAAGAAAATGAAGATCTTAAACACAAATTAGAGGAAGAAGAACAGGATGATCGTATAATGGCTGAAGATTATAATTTACGTGTAACACAATTACAAGAGGAAAATCAAGAATTACGTGACCAATTTCGTATTGATGAAGATGAGGATGGACGTTTGATTAATGAATTACAATCAAAAATTAGATTCTTAGATTCAAACAATCAACAGCTACGACGATTGTTAAAAAATTTGGAACAACAAATCTCTATGCATAATGATAATGATGATGATGAGCCAATGATAATATCGATGGAAACGAATAATAATAATAAACAGAATTCAATGGAAAAAGAAAATTCGAATGAACAAGATCGCTATCAATCATCATCAGAATCATTAATCGTTAATGAAAATGAATCTTATCAACGATACGATATTGTAAGACAACGAATCAATCAATTAATGTTAGAAAATGAAGAATTAAAGGCCAAAATTGCACGATATCGTTGGACAAATAGTGAACAACAACAATACAAAATGAAACCATCATCATCAGCTACAGCTTCGACAATTAATCTAAATAATGATAATGATGATGATGATCGACAACAAGAATCATCATCATCGTCATCATCATCCTTATCAAAACAACAATTAGAGCAATTAAAAATTCGTTTAACTATAATGCATCGACAATTGTTATTATCACGTGAAGAGAATCAAAAATTACGAAATCGAAATGAACATCTTGCTGAACAAAATAAATTATTGACATTGAAATTGAAAAAACGAAATATGGATAAATTTTTCAATCGAGGTGTTCCACGTCATGATTCAGTATCATCATCATCTTCATCATCAGATGATTATGATTTCGAAATCAATGATGACGATAATAATTATAATGATGATGATGATGATGATGGTGTTGTCGATGATAATGATTCAATCAATAATGATGATAATGAGAATAATCATGGAAATCAAATATGGTCATCATTTATGGATCAAATGTCCGATAATTATTATCGATGGTCAAAAAAATTGAAAAAACATGGTGCCAATCTGGATGGCACTAGTTTCAAGCTATTTAATTATGGCAAAGAATTAATGCAATCCACTATGGATGGAATGCAAAAAATTTCCAAACAATTATTAGATAGTTATCAGCAACAAAAACAACAGAATCATAATAATAAAAAAAATAGTCCAGATATGATGAAATATTTTACTGATCGTATAAATGATTTTTCATCTATGATTGAAAAAGGTTTACAATCAACTGTAAATGAATTTAAATCTGTCATAAATTCAGCTACAACCATCGACCCGAATGTTGCCAATTCGAATACTAATAATAATGATAATAATAATAATGACAATTTTCGTGAAAATCGTAAAAAAGAAAAAAGAATGAAAAAATTACGAAAAAAATTTCTCAAACAACAACAACAAATAAATAAAAATGATGATGAATTCATAATCAATAATAATAATGATAATGAACAATCATCATCATCATCAATGAAACAAACAGAACATGATTGGTCAATGGATCGAGCTGAATCACGTGAAAAGGCACGATTACAACGAAAACAACAATTGGACGGTATGGAAAATAATATAGATTGGCAATCTAGACGTGCAAAACTTCGTGCTAAATCTAGAAAATTATAATAAAAATGAAAAATGAAAATTTTTGTTGTTGTTATGTAACAAAGAGAGATAATGAGAATGATTGAATTCAAAAAAAAAAAAATTATATACGACACTAACCACTATATACGCCCACTATATAACCAGAATAAACTTTATTTTTCTTTCTTCTTTTTTTCCCTATTGTTGCTAGTGAATATTCACTTTTTTTTGTTTTGTTTTTTTTTTTTTTGTTTCACTTGATTCATCATCATCAAAAATATTCGTGTAATAATCATCATTTACTATCACAAATATTGCTTTTTTTTCTTGTTTTGTTTGTGTTGTTTGTCTATTATATATCTTTTTATTTTTTTTGAACATAATATATATGTACTTTAAAACAACAACAACCAAAACAACAACAACAACAACAACAGATTACCAAAACATTCACCTTGATATGATAATGATTCTACTACTACTACTACTACTACTATACTACTATATTAATAATAATCCCACCAATTGATATTAATAAAGAAAAAATTATAATTTGTTTTTTTTTTGCTGTTATTAATAAGTATTTTTCATTTTATTCAAAAAAAATGACTGAAAACAAACAATGAATAGCCACAAAGAGGAAAAAAAATTGAAATGGAATGCAATGGTGTTAACAATGTTAAATTTTCAAATTGAAAATTATCATTATTGAATTTTTGTTTGGTTTTGTACGATCGTTGACTAGGTGTTGTTGGATTATTGATGATGATGATGATATAATTTAAACATTATTTCAAGGAAAAAAAATCAGCAAACAATCAAACAATATTGATGAATGAGAAAAGAAATTAATGAAAATGCTGACTTGATATTTGGTCAGCTAGGATTATTGATTTATACTCCAACTTCGATCATGATTATATATGGATTCGATATAAATATTTTATTTTTATTTTTTTTCTGTTTTCTTCTTGTTGTTGAAAATAATACTGTATATAATCATCAGTATGGATTTAAGACCATTCACGAAGCATCAGACTAACAGTTGCATTACTTATAACTGGCCCGAATAATGGATTCATCTGTGACATATAAGTGACAAGCCACATTAGATAACAACATATTGTGCCTATATATTTTTGTGATTAACGAATGTTTTTAAAAAATAAAATTTTCAATTTTTAAAAAACTTACTCATTACAATCATTAATTTGACAATTTCTTTGTTAGGATTTTCAGGTAGAAATACTGGCACACCGATACCGATGGCCGCAAACAGACTTGTGAACAAGATGATTACACCAAAACCCATTTTTTTTTTTTTTTTGAATTTTTGGAATCTGTATGGACAGTGATGATAATCGACAAAAAAAAAACAATCGTAATACAATAATAATAATGACCAGCTGGTTCACCTTGTATATACTTAAATTCTTGATTCAGCTAGATTTTTCTGATTTTATTCGTTTGTTTAAAACAATCATAAGTATTGACGATATTTATTTCTGATATATATAGCATAAAGAGAATATATATTCTGCTCGCTCATGTGAACAAAATTCCAAATATATTATGTTATATAATAGAATCTGATGATATAAATAAATATATGTGAGTCGAAAGAAACCCAAAAAAAAAATTTAGAGAATAATGATAACAAATATGAAAATAACATTTTCATAGATAACAAGTTTTTTATTTGTAAATGATAATTACCCATTTCATACGATGAATTTGTTTTGTACCTTCAATGAATACACATATAGCTCACATCTTGTCTTGGATATTTATGAAAAAAAAAAATAAATTGGCAATACAGCCAAGTTTTATTTATTATAATATATACTTGCACACTTGTATGATTCATACTAGTTTTCATTTTTTTTCTATTGCTCATATGCTCATATTTTCTTTCTTTCTGTGTGTATGTTTGTTAGTATAAGTCTGGTGATAATCAACATCGGAAAAAAACAAACATAAATTGAATTGAATATATAAGGCGTAGCCTAACCAGTGTCATTTTTGTTTCTTCTTTTTCTATTTTTGTTTTATTCTTTTTTTTCTGGTAAATATCATCTTGATTTTTTTTTTATATGTTTGTGATTGTATTGTTGTGAGCATTATCAATTTCGAAAAATTCGATTGTCCTTTATCCATTGTTTAATGGTTGAATTCTGAAATTTCTTCTTCTTTTTTTGTTGCCAATTCTGAATCAGTAATCAACAACCGAATTTAATTTTTTTTCCGCACATTGAATCATCAATAAAATCGATAACGAATTAAAAAAAAACAATGCCATCGGTAAATTATGCCCGTTTGAAGACCAATCTTTCATTGGCCATACAGCGTTTGAAATTATTGGAAAAGAAAAAACTGAATCGGCACAAAAATCACGTAAAGAGATTGCCGATTACATTGAAAATGGTATTATGATTATTATTATTATCATGAAAAATGACTAATGACAATCAATTTTTTTGAAATAGGTAAAGTTGAACGAGCTAAAATCCGTGTAGAACACATTATACGTGAAGATTATCTTGTTGAAGCAATGGAAATTGTTGAAATGTTTTGCGATCTTTTGTTGGCTCGATTTGGTATGATACAGCAAATGCCCACTTTAGACGATGGTCTTGAAGAAGCAATTTCATCATTAATTTGGGTTGCTCCACGAATGTCAACCGATGTTAAAGAATTATCAATCATTGCCGATTTATTCACACAAAAATATGGCAAACAATTTGCTCAGGCAGCCAAAGAAAATCAACTTAAATCGGTCAATGAAAAATTGATGCTCAAATTAGGTGTACAAGCTCCGCCAAAAATTTTGGTAGAAAAATATTTGATTGGTAAGTATCTAATTAGTTTAGTTTAGTTCGATTTTCACTGTAATAAGTATTGATTTTTTTTATATAAAGAAATTGCCAAAATGTTGGGCGTGAATTATGAACCTGATGAAGAAGTATTGATGGAAGATAAGAAATACAACCAAGGAAATGATAATAATAAACCAGATTCCTCGAGTGGAAGTGGTGGTTCAGCACAGCGACCACCACCAGGATCAATGTCAGGATTGTTGATTGATTTGGCTCCAACTGCACCTACAAGTAATGAGCCACCACCATTACCTGATATGCCTCCATCCGGACCTTATGGTGATCTTACATCCGAAGCTAGTTTTCTTAAAAAACAATTAAGTGATGGACGGCCACCAGAAATTGGTTTTGTTGATTTGCCACCACAACCATTGGATCCTGGAACAAGTGTACCTCCATCATATGATTCTGTGGTAGCTCATCAATCAAGTAAATCAGTGCCGACACCAATTGGACAACCACCGCCCGAAGCACCTCCTACATCGGCATCAGCAAAACCAGAAATTGATTTAGATAATTTACCAGCAGTGCCTAATCTACCAGATATTCCAACAGATTTAGATGATTTTGGTATGAATAATAAATCCACTCATGGTGGATCATCAGCCAATAAACGAAATGATGGTAGCGGTACTGGTGGTGGCCAAGATGATGTTGATTTTGATGATCTTCGTCGTCGTTTTGAAGATTTAAAAAAACGTAATAATTAACGTTCTTTGGAGATCATGTATCATGTCACTTTCCGTTTTGTTTTTATTTTTCACAATATTATATACCAACTTAAATACTATATATACTAACTAATTTGATCATTTTTAAAAAGAATATATAAATATTCTTACTATTTGTTGTTAATTTAAATAATAATAATAATAATAATACATAATTGATGATGAAATTCTCAAATGAAAAATGATGATGAATTGAAATAAAAAAAAAAATTTGAGGAAACTTTCACCAATAACAGATGGCAGCACACATGTGGCAATATATATATTTGAATATATCTACTAAAATCAATCAAACTTTTATATTTCCAACAACAACAACAACAACAACAATATATTTAAAAATGAATTACGAACTTTCATTCAATAGCATCGATACATATATATATATAAATATATTAATAATTATACATTGGAAAAATTGATTTGAATTGTTATTTGTCAAATCCAACAATTAATGATAATAATAATAATAATAATAAAGAATCATTGATAGATCAAATAATTTCAATATAATTAATAATAATAATAATAATTAAAGCGAGCGAGAGAATTTTTCCTGCAGCAAAAAAAAAATGTACAACAGTATTAAGAAATAAAGAGAGAGAGAGAGAGAGAAAAAAGAATTACAGCAGAATAATATATGCAAGAATAATTATTGAGATGAAGATTCTGGATGAAGAGAAAAAAAAACAAAACAAAAAAGCTGAATAATATTCGTTATTTTGGATCTATCTTCAATTCGTATTTACATCCAGCTGTAAGCGGTTATCCAGCGAATGGAGGATAGAACACCATACGGTTCCAGCGAATGCCATTGAATCTCATGGATGATGTTCAATAAATGAAAATATTGAGGTAATTTCAAGTTGAATGATGGTTGGTAACGATGAACTCAGTGCAAAATAAAATGTTTCTCGGTTAGATAATTTGTTCTGTTTCGGTAGAAATTCCGCTACCAAGCAGGAGAATGCCGTTAAACGATTTTCAGGAAACATGCTGACTCGAGACCGGTCTGATGTTTTCCACATTAATCCACCCATGAAACCACTTTTTCGGCTAGAATCTGTTGGTCCTGATTTTGAAAATTTCTCTCTTTATCTCTAGCTTGTTTTAAATGATCCAGGAGATCCAAATCTGGCTTTCTGACATAAGAACCAAAGATCACCTGACGCCATGCACGACTGATCACTTCCTGCAAACACTGGCACCAGGATAGGTAGCAACGACATAACATCACGTCGAGGTTTGGATGGAACTTCGAAGTACGGACCACCACTTTCATATGCATCGTTTCTTGATAAGCCCCCGGCAAAATCCCCTCGCATCGCTTTCTCAAATTTGTAGTTAAAACCATTTGAGACATTAGTTGATTTGAAACGACGATTTGACCTAATTTCAAGATGGTGGTTTGAGATGAATGTCAATTTGTGCATTAATATAGTCGGTAGCAACACATTGTTTTGTGGATCTCCAAATTAACGGAAACACCGGGCGTAGTCCTCTGAATCTGCGATTTCGGAGAGTGATGGGAAAATATATAATGCCAAGATGAAATCAATTAACAGCAAAATATTTGATGGAGTTTTTGCTGCTATAGTTCGATTACAATGTTCAAGGGAACGGTTAAAGCTGATTGATGTAAAATTTGAATGGAAGTTCACTTAACCTGTTTCAGCGATGTTACCGGTTCCGGCATTATATTAATTATATGGCCGGGACGAAGATTTGATTCATACAATGGTAGGTGTTTGAGGAGGACAAGAAGGATCGTGACGATGACGTTGTCGTTGGGAACGCCTTGATAGAATCTGTTTAGAATTCAAAAGTAGATGCTGAAGATCTAAGTGAATTACAGGAATTAAAGTTGATACAGAATGTTCTTTCGGCTAAAATTCCTTCCATCCTCTGTTTGGCTCTAACCCGTAGGTGGTCTTCTTCAACATCTGATTCTTCAGTAGTTCTGAACACTTGTGTATTTTGCTTGCTTGGGATTTTCTCTATGTGAACAATAGCTTCAGTTGATTATCAACTGATATTCCATATATTTCAGCAGAAGAATATCTTGTATTGATTTTCAAATGGACCTCTCATATCGTAGATCTAACTTTCTTCTATTTTAATTCCATCTGCAATTTTTGTTAAATACTCTAATCTCCTGGTCTCAAACTGTTTATTCAACTCTTCTTCGATCGGCGTATCTTTTATTACGATTATGATCTTGACAAGATCGGTTCATATGCCATTCCTTCTTGCTTCCAATCTCAGATCCTCCCTAAGATAGGTATTCATCAGGATTTTCACCACTCCATTAGAAACTCTTGGAGCATACTGGAGTAACAGTATGTATTGTTGAATTGATATTCAAACCTGGAAGTTTCATGAAGCAAGTCTTGCCCCAAGCGATCGGCTCTGGCATAGATAACTTTTACACCCCTGTAATCTTTCAACCAGCGAAAGTTTGAAACAATCTTCAATCATTCCAAGTTACTTAGAAGGATGTGTGAATATAAATTATCGGAGTATTATTCAGAAATAGCGAATTCCCCAAAACCTCGAGTGAATTCAATGCAGGATACTCTATCACAAACAATATGTTGTGGATGTCCATCTCTGAGAGATTTTATTTATATGAAGTTAGTTGAGAAAATCACCACGTTTTGGGCTTTTAGAAGCGATTGCTCAAACGTGGTCAGAAAGCGAATCGAATTCGCCACATGCAAATATTATTCACTGAGAAAGTATGATTCTTCAAAACCCAATAGTATTGCCAATATGAATGAATCTCAATGAGTTCATCTAGGTGGGCCAAGATGGTGAAGCAAATCCATCTTTTCTCTAGCTTTGCATTTGTAAAATTAAATCTCACACATCACGGTCTACATACAATTTTGAATAAACTCCTTGTTCTGATTAGAATTATAATATTTTCGTGGAAAATGAAGAGCTGCTTGTTTTTGACTGGCAATATGTCCCTGTTCCTCAATGATACCTCTTAACAATTTCAATCGCTATATTATCGGAAGATAATATCGTCTTCTTACACACCCGCATATTGAACATAACAATCGTTGAATCATCACACACCCTGGAGGATAACCCGGGAATATTGGCAATGAATATCAGAAATCCCTTTGAAGTGTGAAGCAGATTTTACTTCAAAATTAGGATTTCAGAAAGAAAATCAGCTTCAAACATTTTTCACAACTTAGAATGATATTCAATCTTAAAATTCAGTACTGGCTTAACTCTTTAATGCCCAATTCCCAGATTCTAGTGCCGAGTTTTGAAATTGAATTGATGTACTTCAATGGTTTATGATCAGTTCGAATTAAGAACTCTTTTTCCATAGAAGATAATGATGCCAGTAAGCAATCGACTTAACAACTGTTAAGCATCTCTTTTCTGTGGTAGAATAGCGAACTCGGTGTAAGGTACTCGCAGTGAAAATGGATCCCACAGAATCATGATTCTTGATCATCATCTCAATTTATATCTTTTCGGTTTGCGTTGAAAGCTCCACTAATGATTAGAAGCCATCTTTAGAATAAGAATACAGCTTTTGATGGAATTCCAAAGATGCGAATATAAGATCTGACGATGGAATCTTCAATTATTTTATTGAATGTTGTTTCAGCTAATGCTGTCCAATTGAAGTTCCTCCGATCTTTCTTCTTCAATTCATTATAATGGTAAGCATAATAATTCCTGTTTTATTTGGAATGAATTTGTTGATAAAACCAATTTTACTAAGAAACCTTCAAAGAGATTTGCGATCTTTAGGTGGAGTAAAAATCGACAATTGCTTGTTGGATACTTTTGCAGAGGGTTCCATTAGTATTGAACGGATATTTGATTCGTCCTAAATAACAAACTTCTGTAAACTTAAACTCTACATTTGAAAGCTTCCAAAATGATATTGGTTGCTTTTCAATAATTAAAAGCACTCTCCAAGCATTGTTCAACGTGTCCATTGAAATCTCTGGAAAAGCCTGACAATTATATCATCGATATAATTGAGTGAGCAAAACCAAAGTCAACTTATAGTATGTTTCAGGATTATTATATACACTATTCTTTGAGAAAAATGCTGGTGCATTCTTTAATCCAGGTATGCGCATGAGATTCCACTCTAAAGTGCGTTCCGTCATAGTAGAGAATGCAGTTTTATGTTTACTACTCTCTCCTCTATTGAAATGTGATGAAAACCGGAAGCAATATCAAAGGCAGAAAAGACTGAGGAATCGGAACATCCCTATCTTCATGTTCTGTGCTGAATTTAGCATTGGATAACATTCAGCCACAAAACAAGGTCACTCAACCTCCTAAACTCAACCAATTCAAAGATTGTGTTTTCAATGCACATTCTATCCCTTGACGACTAAATCAAAACGTAAAGAAGCATTCGAATTTTAGATGGTTCGATCAATTTCTTCTCGCAACCCCTTGATTTGATTAACAACCTTTTCTTGACCCAATCGAGATATATTGTAGTCCTTTCAAATTGATTAAAACTTCATTCACTGCTTTTCAATTCCGCAGGTGTCTTATGCTAACTGAATCAATTTCACCAGAATTAGTGAAATTACCATTACTGAAATTTGTAAAATCAATTTTTAATGGATCATCAATTTGAGATAAATCATGTAATTCTATTACATTTAGCAGAAGGGAGATCTTGGAATTGTTCTCCGCTATATCTATTGGAAACCTTACTTATTTTCCGAATAATTGATTTATTTTTACCTCCAGGAATTCCCTATTAATTTGAACTCGATCAATGGAGATCTAAACCCAATAATAATGTAATGAGCTTGAGGTAAGGATATATGTACTGATGTTCTCTGAAAGCTGACCAATCTTAGTTCTTAAGATTGCCTTTCCCATCAATGATGTCCATGTTACCGCTTGTCTAACTAGATTATCACAAGGTTCAGGAGTAATTTGTAAAACATCACAAATATCACAGCTAATAAAAGAATGTGTTGCACCAGTATCATATAACCCTTCAAATTCTTTACCGTTCAATGTAATCTTAATCTTTTCTATCATAGTTGGAGTAGAAACCATCATGTTAGTAATTGGGTTGGTATTATTATCCCTAGTATAACAAATGGATGTATTATGCCTACCATTACAAGTTCTACAAGTAAAAGTATTCCTACATTCATTTATCATATGAGCCATAGAAAAACATCTCAAGCATCTTTTTAAACTATTTAGAATCCTAATCTTTTCTCTACTAGGTCTGGGGCATTGAGTTGGAATATGATTTCCTTTACAGAAAAAACATTGTTTAACACCAGTTGTACCAGCTGAGGATTGATTAGTTCTATTATTATTATTATAATTATTAGATGTTGAAGGGGTGTTATAAGTTATACTTGGTAATTGACTATTTGGATGTTTTTTGGGCTTCAGCCGGTAATGCTTGTTCAGTTTGTGCCTATTACTAAACCTATTCCCTACCTTGAAATAATGTCCTTCTGAACGGATTTGTTGATTGTAACTATTCCTATTTGAACATTTCTAGTTCTAAATAAATGTTTCCTGTTTGGGCCTATTCAAATTCATCATGCTATCTGTTGTTCGGATACAAATAATTCTTTTGCTGTTCAGACTGCTCCTATATATGAATTTAAGTCATTCAAATACTTGCTAATGGTTAGATCTGAACCAAATCTTGCATAATATTTGTAACTGCACCGTCAGGAATTTCATGTTATATAAAAGAAGTCAGTTTTAGAAATGACCATTGTTACCACTGGTTGCCAATGTTATACACATCTTTTGGTCACAGCAAGATTGCTGCGCATGATATCCGTTTGATGCCAATGTTCTGCTCTAGGCAACGTTTCTACCTTGATTTCAACTTCTGTTGTACGGAAATGAAGTTGAATAGTATCTAGTTAAAATATTATACGCCTGATGATATTGTAGGCTTCATCGATTCAGGCTATTAGTCCAAGAGAGAAAGGACCTAGTTTCTCTCTACAAATAATTTGCCTGCATCTTCAGCAGCATCAGCTTGATGTATAAAATGATTGAATGCTTGGAGGAAAGCATGAAAGTTTTCAAATCCTCAATTTCATCAAATTTTGGACTTTATCTGCCCATTTCATATTAAAAGATTTTCTAAAACTGGTTCCATACCTGGTTCAATACAAATCTGTAGACTGTGTCTGACCAGATGTTGATGGAAATGTATAACCAGATGTAAAATGATTGATATGTCGAATGCATTGAATCTCATGATTATTAGAAAACGTAACACCTGGTTGTTCAGGGAATTTGAAATCTAATTTCTTAATCACCTTTGGTGTCATAAAATCTAAAATATTGGGAGATGAAAATAATCTAGAAACGGATGGTCTAGCAGAATCATCTATCGTAAATGGCGCAGTAATTGGTGTTTTAATCATATCCGAGTGAGTAGTTCTTACAGTAGATGTAAAAACTGTAGTAATCGGATCCGTTAATTCTGGGTTTTCTCCAAAATGACTTGGTGATACTGACCTAGTCAAAGGAATAGAGGTAACCCGAGTACCGTCATCATCAGCGGTCCTTATCGGTACTGAGAAAGATCTTTTAACAGATCTAGACTCTAGATTAGAAACTAAATCTGCTATAATATGCAAACAGGAGGTGGCCAATTCACGTTTTGGGAGACCCGACTTTCCTTCTTTCTCCCATTTCTCAACTTGTGCCATGGTGTCGACAATCATGACACGAAACTCTTTCAGTTGGACATACACCTGCTGCATACGACCGCTGTCCAGTTCTCCAGCGATCTCTTTCTGCAATTCCGATAAGGCTGTGAATACGTAGTCAACCTTCGCCTTGGCAGTCTTAATAAGATCACGAGTCGATGATCTTGTTGTGGCCATTTTGGAATAAATAATAATAAAAGAAACTAAATTTAAATAATAAGACTTACCAAGTGAAGTTTTATGGCGTCAGAATAAATAATAATTGGACTCGAAAAATACAATACACGTGTATAAAATAAACCACAGTAAATGGTCTTGACGCTATGTTTGAATGATTTTCAATGTAAGGTAACATTTGGAGTTAATGCTGATATAGCAACAGCTCACAAAGAAAATATATAAATATATTATTAATAATTATACATTGGTAAAAAATTGATTTGAATTGTTACTTTTGTCAAATCCAACTGAAGGTGATCAAATTAAACGCAATCAAATAATAATAATAATAATAATAAAATGATCATGTTTGATAGATCAAATCAATTTCCATGGTTTATATAATACGAAAGAAAACAAGGAAATATTTAATAATAATAATAATTAAAGAAAATGAGCGAGAGAATTTTTCCTGCAGCAAAAAAAAAAAAATGTACAACAGTATTCGGACCCAGAAAGAAGAGATAAAGAGAGAGAGAGAAAAGAATTACAGCAGAATAATATATGCAAGAATAATTATTGAGATGAAGATTCTGGATGAAGAGAAAAAAAAATCAACAAACAAAAAAAAAAATGATAAAGAATAAAATAGATGAAAATGAATTTTAATCATTGAGTCATTGTACATAGACAGAAGAGAAGAATTGTTTGATTCGAGCATAATAACTGGTGGCGTTAAATAAAACAAAATCAAAATGATATAAAGAGAAAAAAAATTATTTAAAAAAAACAGAATATTGCAACGAATAGATATAGTCTCGGAAATCATTAATTTGGCTTTATTGGCTGGCTGGCTGGCTGGCTGACTGATTGATTGATTGATTGATTGATTGGTTGGTTGGTTTGAATGATGAAATAAAATATGTCTGATGATTATGAGATCGTATCAGTGTTTTTTTCGTTTTTTTTTGTTTTCTTCTCGATTTGCAAACAAAATTTGATACAAACACAACAGCAACAACAACAACAACAACAACAGTAATAATATTGAAAATTCCGATGAAAAAGAATTTACCTTGTAATTTTTATGATTATTTTGTGTGTGTGTGTGTTTGAAATTATTTAATTAAGAAAGAGGAAAAATTGTTTTTGTTTGTTCATATATTTTTTTTGTTTCAATTTTATCAAGTAAAATTATTATCGACATTAATCATCAATAGCATCCGATCGATCGATATCAATCAATTAATTCGATGACGATGATCGTGATGATGATGATGATGGATATTGAATCGGAAAGTGGAAAAAAAATTACGATCATCTCAAATGTAATGTAATAAATATGTACACAGAAATAGAAAAAGCAAAACAAATGAAAAAAAAAAATGGTGGAAAAAAAATTGAATATAAACAATTGTGTGATATAATAGATAGAATAATGATAAATAGATAGATGTATATATGTAAGCAAATATTGATAACAATTAGCATTTGAATCCACACTTTAGACAGATTTCCATACTTTCCATGCAAACACACACACACACACACAAAACACACAAGTAGAATATTCTGTATTATGTTGATGATATGCATTTTAAAAGCGGTAAAAAAAATGATAATTTTTTACAATACGTTATTCTTTTTTTTTGTTGTTTTGTTTTGTTTTGTTAAATTCTGTCAACCAATTATCAATCAATCAAGCCAAATGAAAAAAATAAATAAATAAAAAACACTATTCAGGACCATTGAAAATATCCATATCAGATCATTTGTCTGTCTGTGTGTGTGTGTGTGTGTGTATGTAAAGTTTGCCATAAAAATTCACAATGGACGAGTCATTTTTTTTATTTGGTTTTCTCATTGTTTTAAAATGATGATCATGTTGATGATGAAATTAATTATAAATAAACGTTGTGTGTTTGAGACAAAAAAAAGAAATTAAATAAAAAAGTATTGATCGTCAGTTTCAATGAATAATTGATAATTGATTAATTGTTTTTTGTTTGGTCATAAAATTATTATTATTGTCCACAAAATTAAACAACAAAATTAATGATAGTTTGTGCGCCTAAATAGATTGGATATATTGCGCCTGGTGTATTTGGTTTGTTTTTTGGACATTTTAAAAATTAACATGAAAATTCTACATTTATATCAATCAATTCTATATTTTCAATTCATCTGTTTTTTTATACATAATTTTAAGGCGAAATTCATTTTTTTTTTAAATATTCTCAGGGATTTATATTTTGGGCATTCGGATAATGTGTATGTGTTTGTCCAAGTATTTTTTAAAATTTTTTTTCATATTTTCGATATACGAACAACAGTCAATTCAGTATGTCCAGATGATGTTGATGGAATATTGATTGGATCATCTGATATGGATGTTGTTGTTGTTGTTGCTGTTGTTGTCGTCGTTAAATTTGTTGATGGACCTCTTTGATTTATGATATTATTATTATTCTCACTTTGTGTCATTGATGTTTTTAAAGAATTATCGGAAGACGGCAATTGTGGATGACCGATAATTGTTGCCGTTGTTGTTGCTGGTTTTGTATTATTATTTTCATTTTGAACATGTACTACAGTTGATACATTAATCTGACTTGTATTTGGTTTTGTTGTTTTTGTTGTGGATGGCGTATTTGAAATTTTACTATGACCAATATTACTGGTTGATTGAGGCGTTGTTGTTGTTGTTGCTGTTGTTGCGGTTGCTGTTGTTGTTGTTGTTTTTCATTGGCAGATGTTGATCCAAATGGATACGTTTGACTGGTGTTGTTGTTGTTGTTTTAATTTACCACTAGATTCACTTGAATCTTCCATATTAGGATTATTATTATTATTTGTTGATAATGGACTTAATTCTTCTTGTTCGATAGCATCATGTTTCTAAATCAAATTAAAAATGAATAAATTCAATGAATTCCGATTCTGATTATTATTCACTTTACCTCATAATTTTCACCACTCTTTTTACAACAAGAGCCTAAAAATCGTCGAAATGAATTTTTAGTTGGCACAATTGCTATTGAAGTCACTGGAGATATTGGCGGTGTCGAGGATAATCGATTTGGTTGACCATTAAATGGTGCATCAAGCTCGACAAATTCTCGATCCTTCTCGTTTTGAGTTTTTATGTTGGAATGATAATGATGGTAGATAAATTAAATGAAACAATCAATTAGAATAATATTATGAACAAATATAGCAAAATAAAAAACATACAGTTGTACGTTCCAGACATTGTAATAGATGATGATGTTGAAGCTCGAATATATCTTCAGATGTGGCTCCATTTTCATTTGAATTATTTTCCTGTGCAGCCAAACGAGCCTCTGTTTCTTTCTTTTTACTAAGAAATGCTGCACCGCTTGTAGCTTTGGCAATTCGTATACGAGCCATTCGTGCTTTCTATTTTTTTTGGAATTTTGGAACATATACCGGTTATATATTAATGAATAAAGATATCAAAGAGCTGAATAGAAAACAACAAACACACACACACACATTAATTATAAGTAATCAATCAAAAATGATGATGTAAGAAAAAAAAAACTAGAAAAAAAAATTCTATTTTGAAAGTTTGTTGTTGACATTTTCATTATTGATGATTAATTTTTTTTCTCTCTCTTTCTCTCTCTCATCCATTTTGATAATCAATAAACATTTTGTTGAACACCCACACACACACACACACACACACACTGATTCTACACAAGAATCGATTATTATTAAAATTATAATCCATCATTTCTAGAATGTTTTTTTTTTTACTAAATTTTTTTTTCATACAAACCTTTTGAGCTTTTCGTTTATCAGCACGTTGATTTTGATGATAAATACGTGAAAAATTTGATACAATTACGGGTACTGGTAAGGCAATGACCAATACACCGCTCAATGAACAAACGCCACCAACAATTTTACCAGTAATTGTTGCCGGTACCATGTCACCATAGCTATTGGTTTTTTTAATATGTTCCAAAAAAGAAAGAAAAAAAAAGAAACAATCACAATATTAATATTTTAGTATACCAGAAAAAAAAGAAAAGACAAAAAATTCAGGTCAAAGAAGAACCAAAAAAAAAAGAAATCAAATAAGGAATAATAATTCACCAATAATAATCAACAATATTCATTTCGATTGTAGTTATTATTATTATTAAAATATAATAATGTAATGATAATCGACCATTGGTGATTTGTTGAAAATCTATCTATAGAACATAATGTCTTGGTTTTTTTTTTTTCACTTTGATATACTCGTCGTCGTCTAGTCTCAAGACGTCAAATAAAATAATGGAACAAGAAAAAAAACAATCATCATCATCATTATATATGAATCGGAAACCTAATAATTAAATATAATTATATAATGGAATTCTTTAGAATGAAATAAAAAAAAATGTCGGAATCAAAAATTTTTTTTTTTTCGAAGAAAATTCTGTGTGTGTGTGTGTGTGTGTGTGTGGGTGTAGACAATTCAAACATTCACGCACACACACACACACACACACACAAGAACTTGACATAATTCAAAAAAAAGTGATGAAAAATTTCTGTTTTTTTTAAATCATCTGCATCTATGCATGTATGCATACATGCAGGCATTTGTATGTTTTGCATTTATTCTGATGGATTTTGAAATTTTTTTTTGTTTCATCATAATTTTCCTAAATTGCATGGAATTTTTCGTTTTGTTTTGTTTCGTTTCGTTCTTTGTTGATTAAACAACAACAAATCGAGATAGATAGATAGATAGAATGGTGGAAAAAAATGGGTACAGAATAAATGTCTACAGAATCGATTCAATCTGTATAATCTGGTCTGGAATAATAATAATAACCAGCAAATGGAAAAAAGTTTTATTTTTCTTCTTCATAAAATTAAGAAAAGATGAATGATTCCCAAGACATTTTTCATACATCCAAAATATAATGCAGACATAACTCAAGCGGATCCTAAAACGAAAAAAAAAATCATTTGCCATTCACCATAAAATTTAGATCATAAATGTGTATGTGTGTTGTCGTCGTTGTTTGAGGCATGTATTTTAAAATAAAAATATAAAACAGAAATGGAATTGAATATGAATGAAATTCTCTAGCAACAACAAAAAAACAAAAAAACAAGAAAGAAAATTAAATGAAATTAAACTTTTCAAATAATCAACGAGTCATCATCATTATCATTGAAGGAATATTCTTTATTTGAATTTTTTTTTAATACAACTATTCTGGTATGCATAATGATAATGATAATAATCACCGTAAATGGCAAACCTAAAGTAAATGTACCACGATCATCATCATGATCATCATCGTGATCATTATTGATGGCCATATATATAAACCATAGAAACAACATAATAATGATGATTAAAACGATGATGATGATACTTTAAAACTTTTTTTTACTTTCAATCTACAAAACATCAAAATATAACACATTTATTATTAAAAGCAATAAATTTAATTTAAAATCTTCAAATTTTTTTCGTTTTTTGAGTTTCATTTTGTTCATTCATGGATTCCAATTATCATTTATAATTAAAATGATGATGATGATTATTGTTAGAATTGAAACAAACAACTTAAACACACATACACACACACACACACACGCGCACGCACACATCAATTTCAAACTTAAAGTTTATGTTTCCGATTCGATGCCTATTTTTTTTATTCATTTCCAAATTTTGTTTATCAAAAAAATGAATTCTCAATCCATAATTCTCAAGTGGTTTCTTTCTGTCTTTCTTTATTTCTTTCGTTTGTTTGTTTGTTGTGGTTCTAAAAGAATCCATATAAATATATATAGTAAAAGTTATTGCAAAAATTTTTTTTTTATTTATTCTTCTTCTTCTTCTTGTTATTGTTATTGTCCGGTCTATTTGCAGTTTCATTTCATTTCATTTTATTTCAGTGATTTGGTTGGATCGTCTTCTTCTTCTTCTATGCATTGATGCCTAGCAGCAACAAAAAAGAATTTATTTATTTTCTATTTTTTTATTTTTTTTTTTTACTTTTTCACAAGTGTATTCACATTCTACATTATTATATCACAACAATAAACAGTAGACTAGTAGTAGTGATTTCCATTATCAAGATTCTATTCCAGTTCTTCTTTTATAGAAAAAGAAAAAAAAACAATTTCCGAACAAAATGGATAGATGGATGAATGATTGTAATGTTACCGTTGTTCGTGTGTTTGTGTGTGAGAATGAATCATTTTGGCGAAAAAAAACCTAGAAGTGAAAAAAAACTTGGTCTTTTTCCATTTTTTTTTATTATGCTGTTGTTGTAACGTCGTCGTATATAACGAGATCCGGAAAAATTTTTTTTTATTTCAGCCTTTCTTTCCTTTTTCCTTTTCGTTTTTTGTCATTTTTTTTTTTTTTTTGTGGTACCAAAAAAAAATATTGGGGAAAAAAACTTTTTTGAAAAAAAAATTCCTGTCCATTGTTGTCATAGGGTTGGTTGAATCATTGAATTGTAATTGTGATCATTCAGGGAAAAATACGACATTCACACACACACACACACACACACACACACACACACACACACACACACACACACACACACACACAGACACACAAAACATTAGGTAGTGATGGTGAGACGGAAATTTTTCTCTTTTTTTTCATCATTTCTTTACTTTTCCACTTTTGCTTTCAAATTTCTTTTTTCTTTTTCTTTTTTTGTTCACCAGCATCTAATAGAATCGTGATGAATTTTAAATTTGATTTAAACTTTTTTTTCCTTTTTCTATTTCAATTTTTTTTTTGGATCTGATTTTTTTCCATCATTCCCCATTTTCATTTAAACTATCAACCATTTTTTTCCCGATTCAAAATTTTCTAAATTATCAGATAGCAACCCGAACAAACAATCCAAACACTCACACACCCACAACATTGCATAGGTTGAATGAATGGTGAACAAAAAAAAAAGGAAACGAAAACTTTTCAATCATCGAATCTTTTCGACCAGAAAATAAAAGAAACAGCCACAATTTGCCAAATCAACAAAATGAAAAAAAAATTTTGAAATCAAAAACATGAAATGTCGATTAATACATCAATACATCTATATGGTGCATATTAATTGAGCGAAAAAAAATTGATGCAAATTATGATCAAAAATGATGACGGGGAATCCAAATTAAGAATGCAAAAAAAAAAAAATGAATTCTATTTTTATACACATGTAGAAATATTGACGTCATTTTTGTTCATTGTATTCATTTGTTCATTCATTCATTTTATAATGAGGTTAAAATTAGTTTTTCTGGTTATCATTTTCTGGTCTCTTATCTCATTTATTATTTTATTAATTACAGATTAAATATTTCCGGGTTTTTTTCTGCATGTTTCGGTTTTTAAATTATCATTATCCATCAATGGTGGCAATTTAATTTGGGAAATTTATTTTTTTCATTGGTCTTCTAAACAAACAGTTCAAAATGGTTAGTTTGTTTTTTTCTCATTTTTTTTTGTTCATCAAGTCAAATGAACAACAACAACAACAACAAATTCGGGAATAAAATGGAACTAAAGTTATTTTTAGTAGCTACTATAGTACCAGTATCCTTCCGTTTCATTATCGAGAAAAATAATGATTGTGATGTGGTGGCGAGAAACTGTGAACAAAAACAAAACAAAACAAAACAAAACGAGTGAGTTTGTTGTTTTGTTTGGAACAGTCAACAAAAAAAAACATCTAATAAATTACGAATCTAAAATGTCAAAGGTCATTTTATTATTTGTTAAAAAAAAAACGAAGAAAAAAAATGTTGAAAATAAAAGGAAAAACACGAATTTTTTTTGCTGTTGTTGTTGTTGCCACAATTTTCATAGATTCTGTAAGCTTAATTTGCTTTAGTGTGTGTGTGTGTGTATGTGGCATGATGATGAAAAAAACGAAACAAAAAAAAATCTGATGATAATGAGTACAAAGAAATGATTCAAAATACCATCATCATCATCACCACCCTTCAAAATGATATATATTTTTTTGTCTGTTTTTGTTTCAGAATTTTCTTATATTTTTTTAACATAAAAGTCGCGTGTGTGTGTGTGTGTGTGGGAGGTGGGGGTGTCAATAGTGAAGCCTCATCATTATGTTAGAAAAAATGCCTATTACATGGCTTTCTTATGTACAGCCTAGTGGCAACTAGTTATGTTTTTTTTTTTGGCCATACACTGTGAATTCAGAGAAAAAAAATTCATATAATGAGCGATGAATGCAAACAAAAAGAAGAAGAAGAAGAAGAAAACTAATTATGGGTGGTGTAGTCAGTGTTTTTGTTGCGTTTTTGTTTCTCCCCACTCCCCCACAATGAATAGGGGCCAAATGTGCCAGATAAGAATAACGCATTGACTGCACTCTTTTTTTTCTACCCTTTTTTCTTCTTTTCATTTTTTTTTTTAAAACCCAAAATCAAAAGTTTTTTTCTTTCTTACTTTCTTACTTTCTCTCTCTCTATGGATTATTATTCGTTTGTTATTGAATGCAGCATCATTTTGTTTTCTATTCCTTTTTTTTACACAAATCCTGCCACACTTGGATACTATGAATGAATTTCAATGTATGAATGTGTGTATGTGTGTGTGTGTGTGTTTGATATAATGATGATTAATGCAGATATGGAACATGAAATTAATGAAAAAAAAACTAACAATTTTCCATGACTTGAAAATATAGTGTGTGTGTGTGTGTGTGACCGGATTTTTTTTTCTCTGGTTATTTATTCATTTTATGGTTATACTTAATTTTTTTGTTTTGTTTTGTTTTGCATTGCTTCTATTTAGTTTTCAATGATAAATTTCATAGTATCAAGATTTTACTTGAGTGTGTGTGTGTGTGTGATTACACAAGTAGTTGTCGTCATTCGCATTTGTTTGTGTTTGTTGTTTATGTGTCAATGATATATATTTTATAGCTACATTTTA